AGTCCATTTTCTTTCTCTCTGGGCTGCCAGCAGGCCTGTAGCAGCCCCCCAACTGTACCCCCTGCTCTCCCTTAACCATTTCCCTAATTTTGTCACCTAGCTGTAATCCACATGACGTCTTCCACTGATTCTGTGTTCATTCAGCTGCCAAATAACCACTGAGTTTTTAATTTCAATTGCCTGTGTTTTCCTTTTCCAGACATTCTGTTTGGTTCTCCTGCAAATCACTGTGCTACCATCTATGACTCCCTATTCCCTGGAGCTGTTTTCAAGCTTGTGTCTGCTCCTTCCATCTTGTGGAATCACGTGGGTCTATTTCTTTGGTTCCTGCTCATGTTGCCATGTTTCTTTATGTTCCTGGTTATCTTTGATGCATGCTCATTCTTGTCCTTGAAAGTGTACTAGGGGGGTTCTGCCAGGCCTAGGACAAAAGTTTCCTCCTCCAGAGGAGTATCATATCTGCTTCTCCAGGTGTGGTTCATGGCCTGAAGTCCTGCCCCGGCCTCCAAAGGCAGCCACAACTGGAGCTACCACTGCCTTGTTCCAGAGCACTTCAGATGGTTGGGCGCCTGCTCAGGGCTGGGTGGGGATTGTGGCTAGGAACCTACACTTGCCTTTCCAAAACCTCCTGGCTCTAAGTGGGCTCAGTAGGACACTGGGACTCCTAGGTGCTTATAGCTCTGGCCCACATCTTCTCTCCCCAAATTCCCTGGGCTGGGGCTTGGTGTTTCCCTGTTCTCCCCAGTGCTGAACCCAGCTGTCCAGCTATGCTGACCACAGGGACTTGGTTCTCCAGGGAGGCATCCGATATAACAGGGCTTCAAGTACAGAGGGCCCAGGGCTTCAGGTACAGAGGACCCATTGTTATCCAAATAGGGGAGGGTTCTCACTGTTCTAAGAGAAAGAGTGAAAGGGGTCAGCAGGAGAGACTCCTTCTGGGTGCTGAGGGATGAGTAGGAGTTCTTCGCAGACGTGACAGCTAGGAGTTCCAGGAGCTGCTGATACTCCCAGGGCCTCCCCAAGGGCTCAGGCCTTCTGACCTGTTGCCACAGCTGGATGGTTGCTGCTGGAAGATCCCATCTATCCAGGCAGCCAGGCCAGCCAGGGTGAGGCTCCCTCCTCCTCTGCCTGCTCCTCTGCCTCATCTTCAGTGAGGTTCCTCCTGTGCACACACCACCCACCCACCCACCCATCCATCCATGTCTCAACCTCCACTCAACAGGGCACGGCTGGGCTCTGCAGCCAGCGGGCCATGCCGCCCCAGAAAGTACCAGGTCCCCTCTGGCCCAGTTTCCCCTTCTGCAGCCTGAGGATGCTGATCACCTCCAGGGCCCCTCTAGACAGTGGGCGGCCCCACTTTATAAAGGACCTAGCTAGACTGGAAGTCAGGCACAATCCTTAGGGTCAGGCAGCCCTGGCCCCTCAGAGATGGCTTCCTCAGTGATTGGTGGGGATCACGGTCACACTGCAGGAGCTGTGAACCCAAGTCCCACTCAGAATAAAAGCCGCAGCCACACCCGGTGCACAGGCCAGCAGGCAGCCAACAGCCTGCGCAGTATCTCGGGATGAAGCTGCTGCTCCCAGCACAGATTCGGAGCTGGCATTTGGGGTTTTAAAGGTAGATAAAGGTGAGCGCTCAGCCCAGGAAGGTGGGTGGAGAGGAGCCCACGCTCTTCACTCCTGCTCTGTTTCCTAAATTTAGTTTTCTTATTTTAAAATTGCAAATGGTGAACTCCCCAACACCTTGCCAAGGATCAAAGTCAGTCTTTGCTCTTTGGAAGAACACACTTGGAAAAGGAAACAGACAGGAGCACCGAGCACACCCGCCCGTTCTTCCCAACTCCACAGCCCCACAGCCAGAGGCGCAGGCCGGCAGCCGCTCCCACACCTGCGTTCCCGTCCCAGAGGGATGGCCCTAAGAAGCCATCACAGTGGGCTTCCAGTTGTCCCCCTGCCCCAGGAGGGTCACAACTTTGGTTTTGTTTGTCACAACTTTGGGTCTGTTCAAGCTTGGAAAAGAAAGGGACTTCAGAGGTAGAGGTGTGGATGGCATTTCAGGGAGATGATCTACAAAGCCCTCACCTCTGCCTCATGTGCCCTGCTCCCGCCGACTGGCCCACTTTACAGATGAGGAAACAGGCTCAGAAGCAGAGCACCTGCACAGTCCCACGCAAGCAGGGACTGCCTTGGATCTGAACAGGTCTCCCAGCTCCAGGTCCCCAGGGTCACAGTGCTGGGTGTGTGCTCAGCACACGAGAGGTGCTGGGTGGTCTTGGTGAAGGGGAAGTAGTGCCAAGGCACACTCATGCTGAGGCCTGACTCTGCCTCGGAGCAATTCAGTGATGATGCTAATAGAAAGGACACCATCAGCAGAGAGTGGTGGACATCCCCGTCACAAGACACTCCAGGAAAGATGGAAACCCAGGGTAGTGCTGTGTGTAAGGCAGGCACCTAGGACCCAGGACCTGGGGCTGGCAGTGAAGTGGGGGCAGGAAAGGAGGTGCGAGCAGCCCCAAGAAGGCAAGGCCTCCCTTCAACTATGTCCAGTCTGCTTATATACCACTCCTCATCCAGCAAATGCGCCTGGACCTGGGGAGACACTCATGAAAATATCCATGGGGTCCTGGGTTTGGTGGGGAATCACATGGAAAAGAAAGGGACTTCAGAAGTAGCGCCATCCTGGGAACTATGATTCACAGCTCCCACGAGCCTGGCCCATGAGCCTGACAGAAGCCGGCCACTCAAGTCCTTCCCTGAGCCTCATCAAATGGGGAGGAGGAAAGAAGGCAGCCCCCAGCCCCTCAGCCTCAGCCCTGAGACCCAACATGGACAAGGCCAATGCCCGGAGAGCAGCACGACTGCAAGGGTACAACAGGGCCCCCCAACCTCTGGCCCCATGACAAGTTCTGAGAATGGAGTCAAACCACACCCTCTGGCCTAAATTGGTGCAATGCCTACATCTGTCAAGTGGCCAGCCTGACATCAACACTGCCAACCGCCACTGCCCGAGTACCTAGCACATAGGGGACCTACAAGGAGCTGCACAGACCAGTCTTACTAATCCCCACAAGATGAGTATCCTCAGCTCCTCATTTTGCAGAAAGGGAAACCAAGGCCCAGAGTAGTCATGCAGCTTGCCTCAGGATGCAGAGCAACAAAGTCAAAGTCAATCTGACACCGCAGCATGCATCCTGCCCACAGGTCAAGTCTGCAGCCATTCCTGGAGCACCAACTGTGTACCAGAGGCCAGGGACAGAGGTTGCAGGAGCTCCAACTCAGAGCACTTGACTATGTTGGGGGTAGGGCAGCATCAAGTGCAGCCAGGTGCTCTGTGGGCTGAGCGTGAAACAAGCTCATTCCCTGAGGTCTGTGCAAGGCCCTAATGGGGCGGGAGAGTAGGTATTTACAGGGGAGCGACAATGGCCCAGCACCTGTGACTGTGGGTGCAAAGGCCCTAAAGCATCAGTGCACAGAGGAGGCAACCGTCAGTCTGCGGGGTGGGAAATGACCTGGGCTGGCCTCAGAGCTCCCTGGGGCTCCCAGTGCCACGGATTGGAGAATAAAGGGCAAAGGCCAAGACAGGTGTGAGAAGGAGGGCAGCCATGTGAGAAGCACCCCTCTCCCTGCACCAGGCTGTCTCAGCTCCCCCAGACTGGTGGACAGCCCTCGCCCAGTGGGTGCCATCATTTGTTCCAGGGGCCAGGCACACTAGATATGGGGCACGACTACTGTTACCAAATCAGCCATTCTTGAGCCTAAAAATAGAAAAATAAGATGCTCTCAACCTAAGTCCCTACCGTGTCCAACACAGAAGCACAAGGGCTCTGGGCCCTGTGCCCCATGTGCCTGGGGCACCAGTTCATTTACCCTGAAAGTCATGGTAGGGCACACTGGGGCTCATGTCCCACTCTCCCTGCACCCCATGCTCAGCTCCGGCTTCCTCACTCCAGGCTAAGCACACGGTTGGCACTGCCTCTGCATGACATCTATTTTGCAGACTGCTCTGCTCTGACAGTGGACTGGGGACAAGGCCACAAGGATGAAGGTGGAAGGGTTAGGCCCTCAGCACAGGACAAATCAAGGCCTTTGCTCTGCTCATTCCTCTGTCTAGGATACCCTTCCTGTGGACCCCAAGAAGACCCCCCTCCCCCCCCGCACACTGAACTGCCTCACACGGCAGCCCTGGGCCAGCTCAGCCTCCTCCCATAGCTGGCACCATTGTGCCCGACACCCCAAGAGAGTTGCCCTCTCCTCAGCCCCCGCCCCCAGCAAGCCTGTGGGCCAGCTCCTCTGACTTCCCACTTTGTAGACGGAAAACAGGCTGGGAGGGGAGGTGCCTTGCCACGTCTCAGCAGCAGTGAGTGGACAAGCTGCACGGCTCTCAGCCTGCCCCAGCCTCCTCCTCGCATCCTCAGCATTTCCTTGCTGCCTGTCCTCCAGGATGCCCTCCTTGCCAGCTGGAGGCCTGCCTCCTCCAGGAGGATTTCCGAGCCACCTGGGGTCCCCACCCTCATCTGCTGGTGGGGGGGGGCCCTTGGGTTCTGCATGTGCCCTCCTAGCAGGCATGGCCCCTCAACGACAGTTCTGGTGGGATTCAGTGTGCACTGACATGCCCAGGCCCCTGAGGAGTCAAGGTTCACCCAGCCCAGCTCCGCGAGGCTCTGCAGGGACTGCTTCTCCACATCACCCCTTCCCCAGGACAGTCCGTCATCCCGGGGGATGCGAGTCTTGGGCAGAGCAGGGACCAGATGGACATACTGTGCGGGAGGAAGGGGCTGGGGCCCTGTGAGGCTGGCAGGGCCACAGAGCTCTGGCACAGGGTTCCCAAGGGCAGAGCCAGGCGCAGAGCCCGCTGGCCCTGGAGACACTCCTCTCAGGATCAGCAAAGCAGAATGGCCACCTCGAGCTCCCCTGCCCTCTCCTGTCTTCAGCATCCCAGTGGGCCTGGGAGTTGGGTGGCAGGAGAGAGCTGCTAATGCACATCTGTTGCTGACATAGCCTAAGAAGTAGAAAAGCAACGTTTATTGGGCATCACCGGCCACCTGGCAGGTGCTTTCACTCATGTCGTCTTCAAAGCCCTGAGACAGACTCTCGTCCCCACTTTACAAATGAGGAAACAGAGGTTCAGCAGGTGGTGGAGGCAGCATCTGCCTAGGTCCAACCCAAAGCCAATTTCAGTGCCCAAACTCCCTTCCCTGAGGAAGAAGGGGGCCCCAGGCCCAGCTGGGATCAGTGCCAGATCTTGATGTCACCTCCCCAGGAGCAGGTGCCGAGGACGGAGGGCAGCACGGGGTGGTAGGTGGTGCCAACACAGGCCTGCGTGTGCCCCTGCAGCGTACATGCCCTGCTGGCTGTGCGGAAGCTGAACATCAGGACCCGGCCATCAGCACTGCCTGTCACCAGCAGGTCACCACACGGAGAACACTCACAGCCCACTGCATAGCCTTCGACCTGTAGAGACATGGGGGTGGTGAGTGGGCCACACCCAGTCCTCAAGGATACCTGTGCATCAGGATTATGACTCCACTCTACAGAGGAACACCTGAGGCCCAGCAGCCCTGAGGCCAAGCCAGTTCTTCTGAGAGGCTCTGGAATGGGCCACATTCCAAGGAGGGTCCAGAGGAAGCCGGCTGGAGCAGCCTCAGTGATAAGTCACCGAGTTTCTGGCCCCTTCTGCCCAGCAAAGGAGGCCTTGGGTGGGAAGAGGCTGATGCAGAGATGGCCCCATGCCCATTCTGGCTTGCTCCTGCCCTCAACTCCACCACTGTCCTTATGAGCTCACTAGTGCTTTCAGATTGGCCCAGGATCTGGGGTAGACAAAAGCCTAGGAAAGAGAAGGCAGAATCTACCCAGACAGAGGATCGTGCCCTGGGCCCCAAGTCCATTTCTGGTGCTGCCTACCAGGAGGCTCTGTGTACCTTGTGTCCTTCATAGCGCCGCCGTCTACTCATCCGGTAAGGCCACACAGCAGAGAAGAGGGCCAGGTAGTTTCCATTGGTCTGTGCCAGGAATACAGGCTCTCTTGGGTGCAAGGCAAGGCTGGGGCAGGTATATCTCTCCTGAGAAACAGCAAGACCACAGGAAGGTCAGAGAAGGCTGCTCCGGGGGTCTTTACCTCCAGCCTTCACTCTGCTCTTGAGGCCTGGTACCCTCCCGCCAGGCCTTGGCTTGAAGGTCTGAATGAGTTTCCTACTGCCGCTGTAATCTAGTGGCTTAAAACAACACAAAGTTATTATGCAGTTTTAGAGGTCAGAAATCTGATGGGATTCTCACTGGGCTAAAATCTGGATGTCCTCAGGGCTGTGTCCCTTCACCAGGCTGTGTGGGATCTCATTTCCTTGCCCTTCTCCAGCTCCTAGAAGCTACCTGAAACCCTGTGGCAGGATAAAAAACGGCCCCCAAATATATCCACATCCTAATTCTTGAGCCCTGGGACATTGCCTCATGTGGTCCTGCCCACCTCCCTACCTCCATGGTGAACCCCAGTCCCATGGCCCAGCCTTGCCCAACCCAGGGTCTCACATAGCCAAAAGGCCCAGGAAATGAGGAGGTAAATGGCCAAATGAATAGGTAAAGTGGGAATAAACTGTTCAAATCACAAGGGGGTGGGGTCCCCACAGAAAGAACTCTAAGAACTCCCCCCTCAACTAGACCTGGCCTTTAACGTGTGAGACTTAAGTCAGAGTCTTGAAATGACCCCACTCAAGAGGACAAAGTGAGGAGCCCTCAGGACAATATACATCAGAGGCACAGAAGCCATGGTGGCCGGATGATGTGCTCCCTGGCGTGAGCTGCTGGCACAGCACCTGCTTGCCCCACAGAGCATGGAGGCAGCTGTGCCCGGCCAGCAGCTCAGGCAGGACATGCTTCATCAGCCTGGCTCCAGGTCTCCACGGGCTCCTGCAGACAGGTGCCCTCCATGGTCAGAGGTGCCCTCCGTGGTCAGGCGTGCCCCTGAGCCCTTCCCGGGGCCTTTCCTTCCTAGTGGGCAGCATTAGAAACCCCTGTAGGGAGGAGGCAGTGGATTTGCTCAGGCCACTTGGAACCGTCAAAACAAGGAGAAGGGGCCTGCACACATGACAGCACTTTAAACTCAGATTTGCAATCCCCAAAGGCGACAGTGGTAATAATGGGGTTGGTGCTGCTGGTGGTGGCTATAGTAGTGATGACTGTGGTGCTGGTGCTGGTGTCTGTGGTGCTGGTGCTAGTGACAGTGGTGCTGGTGGTGGTGGCTGTAGTAGTGATGCGGTGGTGCTGGTGGGGACAGTTGTGATAACTGGCAGTGGTGGTCATGATTGTGATGATGGTGGTTGTAGTGGTGGTGACTGTGGTGCTGGTGGTGGTGATGGTGGCTGTGGCGCTGGTGGTGGTACTGTGGTGTGATGACGGTAGTGATGATCAGGTGGTGACTGTTGTAGTGATGATGGGAGCCAGGATGGTGTCGGTGCTGACAGTAATAGTGATGGTGAAGATGATGATGCGGGGAGGAGAAGGAGTGGTGGTGATGACACTGGTGCTGGTGGGGGACAGCGAATGTGGCGCTGATACTGGTAAAGACAGTGAGAACATAATGCAGCACTCCCTGCGCCTAGCATTGTGCTAGGTGCTCCTTATGAGCATTCTCCCTTAATTCTCAAAACCACTTTCTGTAGTAAAGAATATCATCCCCAATTTTCTGTTTTGTTGTTGGTGGTGGTGTTGTTGTTTGTTTGTTTTTGTTTTGTGACAGGGCCTTGTATGTTGCCCAGGCTGGTTTCCAACTCCTGGGCTCAAGTGATCCTCTTGCTACAGCCTCCTGAATAGCTGACACTACGGGCAAAGGCCATAGCATCTAACTCTCATTCTTAATTTTCTAACAGGAAAAGTAAAAATTAAAGAGGCTTAACTGGGCACGGTGGCACACACCTATAATCCCAGTGGCTCAGGAGGCAGAGGCAGGAGTATCATGAATTCAAAGCCAACCTCAGCAAGAGTGAGGAACAAAGTAGCTCAGTGAGACCCCATCTCTAAATAAAATACAAAAAAAATTGGGCAGGAGATGTGGCTTAGTGGTCGAGTGCCCTGAGTTCAATCCCCAGTTACGCCCCTCCAAAAAAGAGGCTTAATAAGCTGGTGTAGAGGCCCTCTCAGCTTACTTGGGAAGCTAAGGCAGGAGGATGGCAAGTTCAAGGCCAGTCTCAGCAACTTAACAAGACCCTGCCTCAAAATGAAAAATAAAAAGGGCTAGGAGTGTAGCTCAGTGGTATAGCGCCCCTGGGTACAATCACCAGTATGGGGGCGGGGGGCTAAATAATGGTCCCATGGCCCACCTTGCAGGTGATGAACGCAGGACTTTAGCAAAGGTGTTCTACTTCAAGCACCACCTACCAAAGATGCTGAGCAAGAGAAGTCAAGACACCCCTTCTGCTTGGCTGGTTGGGCTGGCAGTGGGAGGCTTAGGGCCTCTCAGGTCACAGGGCCATTTTCCCTTCATCTAGTGGGGCTGCCCCAACTGTGGTGGGTCCTGTGTAAGGATAGGAAAGCAGGAGTGCTGTTCTGGGGGCCTGTAGACAGTGCTGGCAGCTCGCTCCTGGGCCCCATCCTGAAGATTTCAGGCAGCTGAACCCTGTCCCACAGGAGGGGCCTGGGAACCCAGACAGACCAGGGATACAGGAACATGTCAGGGTTGAAACTGAGAACATTGCCAAATAGAGCTTCTCACGTGGAAAATCTGGTTGGAGATTTTGGCGGAGGTCCGGAAATCCCAGGCAATGATAGTACGGTCAGCAGAGTCCCGGGTAGAAGCGTCGGTGCTGCTCAGGAACTCAGAGCCTTCCTGGAGAAAGAGGATGTCCAAGGTCTGCTGGATGGTTGCCTTGTAGCCTCTCACCACCTGTAGGAGTAGAAACTGGTCACACAGGGCAGCCCGGGAGCACAGGGCAGGTGCCTACCCAGGCACCCAGGAGGCGGTGGGTTTATTGAAGCGGTTCTGGGCCATATTCGCTCTAGCAGAGCAGCCCCATGTGCTTGTGCAGAGGGGGAACCCCGGCTTCCCAGCAGGCCAGTGCCTGCAGCTCCTGGGGCTATTCTGTGATGCCTCCCCCATGACAGCCTAGTCCCATGACCGCGTCCCCCTGCTGCCACGTGGGTGGGTCCAACGAAGCACCAGCCTCTCCAGCACACAGGCCCCTTGAGAACGGCAGGTGCCCCATGAAAACGTGCTGAAGAAGGGCCCAGGCCTTGCTCGAGGCCCCCAAGGGCGTGGTGATACTCATCAATATCGACGTCACATAATTCCCAGCTCACAAAGGCCCGAACCATTGTCCGTGGAGGAGTGACAGGGATACAGGGAGCAAGCATTCCTGGAGACAGACCCTAAGGCCAGAGTGGCAGACACACTCCAGCTCTGGAGGCACACCTCATCTTCTGACCGTGCCCCCTCTGCTTCTTCAAGGCTGCTTTCCACACCCTCTGCTACTCCAACTCCACCTGGGCTGGGCAGGGGAGAGGCCATCCGAGAACCAAGAGAAGCTCCATTCACAAACAAGGATGCCGTGACATCACTGCACCCTGACAGAAAAGGCCAGTGTGCCCAGGCCGCCGAGGTTCCAGCTCCCAGGGTGCCAACACACGGCTGCGGCACCAACACAGCTCAGTCCTGCCAGCTGTGGAATGAACTGTCTTCACAAATCAAGAAACTGAGTCTGCAAAAATTTTTGACTGGTGTTTTCTGTTTTCCCTTTCAAGTGCACACCCTGAATTCCCATTAAATACAGCCCTCCACAGACTTCATTTAGACAGGTGAGAGATACTAAGTTCAGAGAGGTAGAGACTGGCTCAAGGTCACACAGCCAGAGTGGTGCAGATCCTTTCCCCATGCCTGGGGCCCCAATTCAGTTTCTTACTGGCCAGTTCCTGGGGTTAAATTCATGGGCAAGGGTAGTAACAAATGACTGCTCTTCTCTGAGTCTCTTCAGAAGTAGCCTTCAGCTAAAGTGACTTCAAGGTGGGCCCGTGAGGCACAAAAAGTGGTCAAGGAGCAGAAAAGGTCACCCTGCAGACCCCTGGATGCAGGACAGGGAGACAGTGGAGTCCAATCTCACCTCAGCACCACCAGCTCTATGGGCCACCCCAGGCCCCGACAGCCCTGCAACAGCTATCCCTTCCCCTCTCTCTTCTCCCAAAGATGCCTGCAACAGCAGCCTAGGCAGCAGGGGCTACTTGGCACTTGCTTCCTGTGTGTTCTCCACACACCAGGCTTCTACCAGACACACCTGAGCCTCACAGGGTGGGCTGGGGTGCAGTGCCAAGCCCTGCCAGGGCCCCCAGAGCTGTGCTACTGCTGCCATGGTCTACCTGCCAGTCTGGGAGGACCTGAGAAAGGACCGTGCACATCATCACAGTGCATGATATCTGCTCTGATGAGCTGCACATCCCAGCTCCCAAGAACAGCAGCACCCCAAGGCAGTGTTACTGTCGACTCTCGTGAGAAGGGAGGCAAGGAAGCAAGGCTGTGACAGGGTGGCTCTGAAAAGACCTCTTCACTGGCTCCAGGTCTAGCAGTGGAGTCCAGTCTCACCCCAGCACCACCAGCTCTATGGGCCACCCCAGGCCCCGACAGCCCTGCACACCTCCCTTCCCCTCTCTCTTCTCCCAAAGCCTTCTCAATCGCTAAGCTTCACAGAAGGAAAAGGAAGTCTGGAGACAGTTGGGCACCAGACACCAGGAGAGAAGCAAATCTGGCCAGCACATGTCCCTGGGTGTGGCCTGTGCACTGAGACATTTCTCCTCCATGGTGGCCACAGAACAGCCCCCAGAGTATCACCAGCTCATATAAAACTGCTGTGGCCAGGCACCACGGATGTTGGGCAACTCCCATCTCTGTGCCAGAACCACGAGCTTCCATGTGGCCCATCACCACAGCTCCCCACCAGCCTCGGTCCCTCAGGCTCTGCAGCGGGTGAACAGGAAGGAATGCAGGAGGCGTTGTGAAGGCCCCGAGGAGGCAAGGTGCCCAGGAGCTGTGGCTCCTGGCTCTGTCTACAGCAGAACTGCCTGCGTGCCCTACCCACACATCAGCCACTCCCAAGGCAAACCTCTATACATTCCCCCAGAATAGACAGAAATGGCCCAGCCCACTGGGTGTCATAAAACTGAATGGCCGGGAAACAAGCCGTGTTATGGGCGATCCCTGCCAATAACGCGGCTGTCAGTAGAAGGCTGGCCTTTGGAGCCATCGTCTAAGCGATCGTCTGGGAACATGATTGACTGCCTTCATGCTGCTCAGTCCCTGGGAAACAGCAGAGGGGCCATTTGTGTGTCTGGTTAGTGGATTTTATGGCAACCTTGATGAGATGGACAGCTGGTGCCTCCCATCCCAGGGGGAAGTCATTGCCCAGACTAGACTAGCTGCAACCAAAAGGGACTCCTCTGGCAACTTCAGGTCCTGGCAGACAAGCAGGTACAAAGCCTTGGGGACAGTGGAGGACAGACTGTGACACCTGCAGGGGTGATGAAAAACCCCTGAAGGCCCAGCACAAGGCTCAGCTGGGCCGCCAGCTAACGTGGGCAGTGCTGGGCTGCTGCTGACTCTCAGGAAGACTCGCTGTGCCTCCGTGGCTTCTGGCCTCCAGTGCACAGGCCCAGGGCACAGGCGAGGCTCCTGCCTGGAGCCCACGGCGACCACCATGTGCACAGGGAGATCCCTTCCCTCTCCAGGCCCAGAGTTGAGTCCTCAGAAAGAGGAGGGCTAGGGTGCGGGCCATTTCTCTCAGGACCTTGCCAGTGCTCTGCACCCAGGCCTGGGCATAGTGGGGCTGCGGGGGACCCTGCTCTGGGCACCTCAGGAGCCCGAGCTCCCTTCCCGCCAGCCTCGGCTCCCACTCACGCCACGACAAAAGCTTTACTGCCCAGCCTCTGAGGTAGTCTTGGCAGGCCTCAGTCAAGTGTGCTAGATTAACTGCTGGGTAAATGCATGAGTGAAAAACAGTGACTTAAAAGACAGCAACCGGAGGGCCCAAGGCCCCCAGCTCTATCCTGCAGCCAGGCCGAGGCAGCTCACACGGGCCCTCTGCTGCTGGCTCCACCGGACCCCTGAAGGAGACCTCGGAGGTCATTCACAGGCCCCTCGGAATCAGAGCAGGCCAGGCCTTGCCCTGGCCCAGGGACATGGAGACCAAGAAAAGCTGCTCCAAGACCTGGGCAGAGGTGGGAGAAGGGCAGAGGGAGTGCACACAGGCACAGTGCCACATCAACACGAGAGGCAGGGGGAGGGCCTCTCCAGATGAACAGGGACAGGGCGCCAACTGGGAGGGCCAAAGTGCTTAGGCAAGTGCCCCGGGAAGTCCGAGGCCTATTACTAGTTGTGTGACTAGTAAGTTGCCTCTCTGTTCTTCAGTCTCCACACCTGTAATGTAGGACAACAAGAGACCTCCATCTTAACAAAGGCGTCACGCCCAGCTGAGCACCCAGCGCGCAGCAGATGCTCATGAGCCTCCTCTTCTGAGCCAGCCAAGAGCCGGCACCCCAGGATAGAGCTAAGTGTTCTTGGGCAAGTTCCTTCTCTCCACACTTCCATTCCTCTGCCTAGAAGATAAGCACTCCGGTCTCCTCCAACGCCAGGATGCAGGCAGTCCTCACTAAAACTGAGCTGGAGGGCAGCACGGGCCCCCTTCCAGGGTTTCCATTCACACAAGGAGCCAACACATAGTACACTGACTGTCAGCAGTGCCCTGCTGATACGTTTGAACAGAAATAAAAATTTACATGTTTAAAAAAAAAAAAAAAACATTAAAAATGGGAGAAAACATGAATGAATTTCTCCAGAACCTCAAACTTGGAAGAACTTTCCCAACTGTGACTCCCAAAACCATAAGCAGTAAGAGAAAACTACATGAAAATACAAAAAGAGAAAAAACACTCTCGGCTGGCAGAAAAGAAGTGAATAAACAAAAGAAGTGAAGTAAGACAAATGGAAAGAATATTTACGACTTACAGTAGAGTCAAAGGTCACCATCAATAATTCAGAGACTGTTTCTAAAAACAGATGAAAAGGACCAAGAGCTCTGTAGAAAATGGGCAGCAGAACAGCTCACAGAGGCTCCGACTCTCCTGCCTTGCTCGTGACAGAGACACCAGACGCCAAGCACTACCTACTTGACGGACAAGACCACAAAGTCTGCTAACACACTCCACAGGTGACTGGGGGCTGGGCACAGACGTGCTGCACCCACACACGGCCCCTGCACACAGGGTCTGCACCACTTCTACCAAAATGAAGTGGTGCATAGCTACCCAGCAATGCTACAGACCAGCAACCCCACTTCTGAGAACTGACCCCAGAGTCACACGATGTCATGGAAAGCAGCACGGCCTATGAAAATAAAGAAATGGACACAGCCCAGCATCCATCAAGCAAGAAAGGCTGAGTGCCCTGCAGGACGTTCAGGACATCCAGAATGCAGGCCTGTGGAGGAGAAGCAGGTGCTCTGGCCTGCCCGGGCCCAGTGGAGAGACGCCAGGCAGAGGGGCAGTGCAGCAGCGGAGGACAGTGTGCTCCTTGGGCGTGCAGCTGCAGTAAGTGTCACTTGTTTCTCGTCTATTGATCTACTCACTTATTGCAGGGCTGGGGCTGGAACCCAGGACCTCATGCAGGCCAGGCAAGCGCTTTACCACTGAGCCACACCCCAGCTGCTTACACTAGAGAAAGTGGAAAGATAAACCAAAAATGAAAATCAGTAAATAAAAATGTTTTCTCTAGAGAAGGGAAGACAGAATGGTAGAGACAGGGTTATGGGTAAGACTTTTCATCATTCTCTCATAGGACATTGGTATACTGCCCCTTGTTTTGAAGATATGACTTGAGAACAAAGGTCACAGTTGTTTTTTTTTTTT